AACTCAAATCAAAATGAAGTTATTTTATGCTTGATTTACAGTTCGGACTGTCACCTTTCCAACGATATATAATATGTATATATTTCTTTCACGAGCGCCACTCTCAAACGATTCGAACGGCATCCAGCGGAATCGGGCACGAACTTATGCACTCATCCAATATTTTTAGTTAAAACTTTGTATTAGACTCGAAATTGTTTGTAATAGTTAAAGGGCGAAGATACAAATATATCAATAAAGAATTTATACGCCAAATGCAAATGTACTTTCCAACATAAAAAACTTTGTTGCATTTAAAAACCTGCCTGTGAAACAAGCGACCGTTGCGGGTGTCAAGAGATGATGCACTAACTCAAATTACATTCAAAATTCAATGACAAACAAGGTGTTGTTGTTAGCTGTGGTCAATAACGTGCATATTTCAGTGTACTTTTATTTTAAGCTTTTTGCCAGAGTAGTAATGCACTTTTCGCAAAAATTTTTTTTCATTTTTTTTTCCAACTTGCACACCCCTCAAGGCTGCAACAGGCGATATTGTTTGTGAGTTCAAATAAAAAGAAATTCATGCACGATTGTATGGAAAGAGTGTACGCCTGTTGCATTCGATTATACATAAGCACGTGCATATATACATATGTTTGTATGTTTTTATGTCACACTCTTGTGCCACTGCATGCAATCAAAAGCCTGCCAAAGTCACCTCTAAATCCCTGACAGCGCAGGATAGTGCATTCATTTTTTGCCTCTTTCTTTACTTCCCTCACATACACATCTACATATGTACATGTGCACATATGTACATATTTACAATCATATCAATATGCATGCATATTGTACTTTTTTTTTTGCCTATTAGTTGTCATTGTGTTTCTGTTCTTAACACGAAATAATTGAATTCTGGTCAACCCCCCAAGCAATGGCTAACGAAAAGTGCACAAAAAAGCGAAAACGGCTTGCACTCAGAAAGCTAACGGAAAAAAAATCAGGAAATCACAATTTCTCCTAAATTTTCATTTTCTGCTAAATGAAAAGAAAAACATGGTATTCCTCATCAATTTCAATTTTTTCGAATTTCTTTTTTTTATTTTTTTTGCACATTTGTTGTTGGCTATGCAAAAGTGCATATCTCGCGGCAGTGTATCAATAAATAAATTAAAATGTTTATTTGAATTGTGAATGACAGGCGGCAGCAGCATACTGGATGTGTGTGTGTGAGTGCGAGTATCGCCAATGACTTTCTCATAGCTTTTTAGTGTGTGTTCTCTTTTTTTTTTGTAACTCTACACTAATTCCATGCGCATTGTCACAGGTTTTTCATAGTTGGCAAAAATATTTGAATTTTTTTCTTCATTCAATTCTTATTGAAATATTTTAAATAATGTCATTTTCATTATCGTTAGTATTTATTGAATTTCCTAATGGACGAATTTTATTATTATTCTGTGTAAATGCGTAATTTGAATGGATGTGCTGTATAACTGCGTGCGAACACACATTTATTTGAAAATATTAAAGTTTTTACTCTTCACTGACTATCTGTTTTGCCATGCATATTAATATTTTGATGCTAAAATTTTGTTATAATGTTATTGTTGCTCTATTTAATCATAATATTATTTCATTTTTTTTATATTATTTTTATTTAATTTCGAATATTTTATTTCGTTGTTTTGTTTTTCATTCTATTTATTTGTATTTAAATTTATTTAGTTTAATTATGATTTTATTATTTTTAGTGTTTTTATTCTATTTTATTTATGTTTTCATTTTCATATGTTCTTTTTATTTTTATTATTAGTTTTATTCTCTTTTATTTTTATTTTTTATTTTATTTTTTCAACTAATTAAGAAAGTGAAAAAAAAATTATATTGCTTTAATACATTTTATTTTAACTTATTTTTATTTCATTCTGTTTTTCTTTCATTTTATTATATTTTTTTTTTAATTCTCTAGTTTATTTTTAATTCGAAAATAAATTTTGATAATTTTTTATATAAATATTTTTTTAAATGTTGCTTTATTTAAACTATTTTTCCTTATATTTTATCTTATATTACAAAAAAATTAAATTAAATGCATTAAAAAAAAAATAATAAAGAGAAAAAATTTAATTTTGAATTCATTTAATTTAATCTTTGGTTTGTTTTTTTTCACTTTCTTTTATATATTTTATTGTTTTATAGCATTTTTATTTAGTTTCTTTTATTATATGTGTTGTGATTTTTCTTTACTTTTCAAATTAGTTTTACTTTCTTAATTTTTATTTAATTTTTTTTTAATAAATAACACTTTCTTGAATTAAAAATTTTAATTTTTTATTTTGTTTTTCATTTTGTTCACTTTCGCTTCACGTTAGTTCGTTTTTTTTTTTTTTTTTTGATAATTAATTCATTTTATTTTATTTTTTATAAATTTTGTTTTACAATCTTTTTATTAAATTTTATTTCAACTCTTTTTTATTTATTTATTTTTTTAATTATTTTTATTTCATTTTGCTTTATTTTAATTATAACTTCTTTAACTTTTGTTTAGTATTATTTTAATTATTTTTTTTTTAAGTTTTTTCTTAAGTTTGTTTATATTAATCTTTATTTTGAAATATTTGTTTTGATTTTTTTTATATTTAATTTTGTATTCTTTTATTTATTAACTTTCCTTAATTTTTATTTCTTCTTATTTTATTTTTACAAACAAAATTTTCCTTTTGTTTTAATTTTTTTTTTATATTCATTTATTTTTTAACTTGCTTTAATTTTTATTTCTTCCTATTTTATTTTTACATAAAAATGTTTCCTTTTGTTTTAAATTTAATTAAAATCGTTTGATTTTATTTCGCTGTCTTATTTTATTTTTAATTCATTTTGTTTTTATTTATTTCATTTTGTTTTATTTTTATCATTTTATTATTAAATTTTTATTTCTTTTTTTTTTTAATTTATTTTCCTTTCTTTTATTTTTATTATAATTACATTTTATTTTATTTTGAATTCAGTTAATATATTTTTTTTATTTTACTTGTTTTTTTTCGTTGTTCTTATTTTATTTTTATTTCGTTTTATTTAAATTTGTTTTTATTTCATTTTGTTTTATTTGATTTCCCTTATTTTTTTAATTTGATTTTTTTTCTTTTATTTTTATTTCATTTGGTTTTAATTTTTTTTTTTAATTTCGTTTTGATTTATTTATTATGTTTTATTTCATTTATTACAATTCATTTTTAATTCATTTTTATTTTACTTTTATATTATTTCCTTTTTTCTATTTTAATTTATTATCCTTGGTTTTGAATATTACTTTTTCCTTTGCATTTCAATTTCAATTTATTCAGTCAATGATTCACAAATCTTACTGACTAAAAGTACAAATTATTTAAAAACTTGAAACTAAGAATGTTTACTAAGAATAAGAAGCATTAAGGATAGAGCCAAAACGAGATCTCGGGAAATCAAGATCAAGTCTTCTAGTGATTCTATTGAATTCAGAGAATAGGATCGTAATTATGATATTCGGCTTGATTTGCATCTAAATAGAACAGATAGTGAGAGCACAAAATTCTATGAGGAACATTAAAGCTGATTTGCTCAAGCAGCTCTGGACAGTCCATTAAGCCATTGATGATGTCATAAATAAATAGTAATGATTGGTCGAAGAAGTAGGTGGATCAGGCAAATGGAGCGGCGCAAAAGCTAAATGAATGAGCCTACGATGGATGGCTTCAAGTCTAGAGGAATGCGTAGAATAAATGGGATTACAAATTTAGCTAGTATACACAATCTTTAAACGAACCAAAGAGTTATATTCTATAAAATTTTACGCATGTAGGGTTCTTTGAAATCACCACCATACCGTCGTAAAAAAGCAAGGTTAGAATAAGCTTTACGAATAATGCAGTTCATGTGATTAATGAAGGCAAATCCCACATCAAACAACACACCAAGACCCCAAAATTCCTTTACATTTATATATGTATTAGCCCTATTTTCTTTTATTTTTATGCCATTCTATTTTAATTTAACTTTTTATTAATTTTTACTTTATTTGCCTTACTTTTTTATTAATTTTTTTGTTGGTTTTTTTCTTTTTTCTCATATTTTTCATTTCATTCTATATGATTTTATTATTTTAAAATTTTTTTTATATTATATATCTTTATTTTATTTTGCCTTATTTGATTTGTCTTTATCTTAACTCACCCGGTATCGATTTTCCCAATTCAAGATACTCTCTCACAGATGGACTTAGAAAATTCGTTGGTATTTCTGGTATATCCTTCTCTTGACTACCGCTCTCTTCGTTCTCCAAATCCTGATGTGGTTCCGGCTCGAAATTAACCGGTTCGGGTGCACGCGGTCGCTTGGCACGTTTCGTGCGTGTTGTTTCACTACAATCTGTAGAAAAGAAATATGTAATAGAGATTTTAAAGCTTTGTATTAGACGTATACTTAGATAAAATTATAAATATGTATATATAATACTTAAAATATATATATTTTTTTTAAATAAATTATATTAAATCAGCCTAGAAAATATTTTAAAATTTTTTAAATTTAAATTCAAAATAGATCTAATCTCTAAGTTTTATTGATATTTATTTAGTACAAAATTTTTTTAAATTTTATCACATTTATTACCATTTAACCATTTTCAAAGTTCCAGTCCCGTTTTTGTTTTCTTTCATTTTTTTTTTGTTTTTGTGTTTTAAAGTAATATAAAATTAACTTCGTTTCAATTTAAAAGACCCTAGTGCGATTGCATAATGATTTATTTGATTTTACGAGTTTTTTTGCCGATTTTACAACCACTCAACAGCGGGCTGCTGGCAGAGTTGCCACGGATTGTCGCCTGATTTTTTCTATGCATTTTTATTGGCTCCTCTGTTGAGCTTATCGTTTTGGTGCACGGCCTCAGTTCCTCGCTTGAAGTGAGCGATATTTGCCACCTTAATGCAGTTTTGCTTACCGCCTGCCACCAGTCAGACAGACGTCTTTCTGCCTACTCAGCAGCCGCTGCTACCGAAAGAGAATAATAATAAAATTCGGCACTGCAATCCGCTGTAATTTGTGACGTAATCATGCTACTAACTATGTGTAAATAGTAATAAATAAATGAATAATTTTGTACTCTTAACCGAAATCACTGAAATTACAAGCCGAAAAACTGAGTTAGTGTTGGTGAGTGCAGTGTAACTGAGAGTGCACAGAGTCAATAAATTATTTATTTCTGCTGTCAGCCAAGAAAAATTATTAGCGTTTCTTTTTCGTTACAAGCCGCTTGCTTGCTTCTTTGTGGCCTACTGGTTGTTGACCTTGTTTGTAGTTCGTGTTATTTCTTTTTTTTTTTTGTTGGCGACGAGATTTTGCAATGAAATTTTTTTTCACGACGCTACTGAAAGAGGTTTTGTGAAACACCGCGCTTGACAAGCAGAAGAATAAAAACAAGAAGTGCGACTGCTTATTGTGACTAGAATTTTCGCATGAATTTAATTTTTTTATTAAAAACAGAAAAATTTGCCATCGCCACTGATTGTCAGCAAGGTGAACGACAGTTTAAACTGCACAGAAATTTATTTATTCTTTTTTACTTAATTTTAATTCTTGTTTATTCTTATAGCTTGTTTTAATTTTTTTTCGCAACTACTTTATTTTCTGTTCTGTCTGTTTTTTTTTTGTTTTTTTAATGATTTTGCAATTTTTCCGTTTTTAACATTTTTTGTTGTACTTTTCTGTAATTTTTTTTTCAATTTTGTGACTTTGTGTTAATTCTTTTTTTCACAACGTCTTGTTCTTAATTGAAAATACAATAACATGCATAATTTACTTTGATTATCTGGAAATCGATTAGGCGGCTCGGAGAATATGATCAACTCAATTCTTCGATTGACCTTAACCTTCTCGCAAAGCGTACACACTTTGATTCTCCTCTTAATGGTTGCTGAACTCAATGCTCTGCATGCATACATATGTACATATGTAAATATATACATTTATTCACTGTTTTCAATTTTATTAGTTTTTAATAATTTGTTATTTTCTTACAGGTAAGTCTCGGATCTTCAGCTTAGAAAAAACACAGTGTAAAGTTCAGCTGAGAAATAATGAAATTGTGAGTACCATTTTAAGTGGGGCTTAAGAAGTATATCCACTCCTAGAGGTTGAAAAATATGCTCATTTTAAAAAAAATTATTGTGAGAATATGAGAAAAGGAATAGAATTTATATGTAACCGTTTTATCGAATATATATTGAAGTATAAAAAATATTATTTAATTATTATTTCGATACCAAATTGGGGGTGATAAAATACATTAATTAATCCATGTTTTTTTTTTGAAAGACGTCCACGGGAGGACCGATTTCTTCTAAAGGATGAGACCTACAACAGAAAAAAACTGTTTTATAATCTACAAACTGTGGTCTTTGGAAGTACGTACGGATTAATATTTTAATTATTTTTTGTGAAAGCGGCGCACTTTTTTTTTTTTAAGTTTTATTTTTGACTAAAAAATACGCACTAAATAATAAAAAAAATAAGGTTTACAATTAATCGAAAAACGGCTACGTTTCGAAAAAAATGTATTTGTCAGATAAATCGCTCCAATGCTACTCAGCGCTCGCTCTACGCGGCTGCGACAAAAAAAAAAGTTCAGCTATTTGAAATATTTTCCTCACTTTATATCGTTTCACTGCATATCGTTTCTAGGCCTGTAGGACACAACTACCGATGCCTAAAGCATATTGAGTTTAAAAAGCGAATACTTCCAAACAGTTGAATGGCAGTAAAAATTGCGTATCCGGAGATGGTGAACCGGTAAGCCCCATTCGATGACGATGGAAAAAACGTTCCATTACCTGACCACGAAGTAGTTCGAATAGCAATCTTCCGCTTAAAATACAGCAAAGCGGCTAGAGCTGACGGCCTACCGGCAGAACTATTCAAACGTGGCGGTGAAGAGCTTTGCAGAATATGGTCTGGCGTATGCCGATGATATTGACATTATCATCCTCAACACCCACGCTGTTAGTTTTGCTTTCTCCTACCTTGATAAAGAAGCGAGGCGAAAACAAGACGAAATATCTCCTGCCATCAAACAAACAGTCATCGCTTTCTCGACTTGGCTCCCACGTCACTGTTGGCAGTCATAATTTTGAAGGCGTAGATAATTTCGTCTATCTGGGAACCATCATCAACACTAACTAATAATGTCAGCCTTGAAATCCAGCGCAGAATCACTCTTGCCAACAGGTGCTCCTATAAACTAAATAGGCAATTGAAAAGTAAAGTCCTCTCCCGACGAACAAAAACCAAACTCTGCTCTGCATGGACGATGACAGTATCTGATGAGACGGCGTTAGGAGTTTTCGAGAGTAAGATTTTGCGTAAGATTTATAGTCCTTTGCGCGTTGGCAACGGCGAATACCGCAGACGATGGAACGATGAACTGTACGAGTTATATGGAGAGATTGATATAGTTCAGCGAATCAAGTAACAGCGGCTACAATGGCTAGGTCGTGTGGTCCGAATGGATGCGAATACTTCAGCTCTGAAAGTTTTCTCGTTCGAACATTTCGACTGGTAACTGGCGAATGACATGCGTGATGTTTTGCTCCAAGGTCTAAACCGAAGCGGGACAGTTTTTGGACGTTATATATCCCCAAAAAGTCTAACGGTGTGATATCACACGATCTTGGTGGCTAATAGACCGACCCAAATCGTGAAGTTATCTGCTAACCGAAGTGTTCTTTCAATAAATTCTTGGATTGCTGCGATGTGTGGAAAGTGGCACCGTCTTGTTGAAACCAAATGTCCTCGAGATCACGAGCTTCAATTTGAGGCATCATGATAACGTTCGCCATTAACATTTGGTCGAATATAATCCAATAATGAATACTCTCTATAGCATTTTCGTCTTCGCTGGTTCAGTATTATAGCAATATCACTGTACAAATTTAGAATCCTTAAAATCTTCTCAGTTCAAACTAATATCTTAGTTTCTCAACTGGTCAAATAGTTGCACAAATAATTGGGCAGCAAAACAAAAATCTTTAATTTTTGGAATATTTTTCATAAATTAAAAAAAAAGTGATATGAAAAGGAATATTAATTACGACAAACAGTAGAGTGTATAATAAATATTTTCTGCAAATATTTATGAGAAAAATTGTATTTTTCTCGAGGGAAGGACCCACAATTTTTGAATCGTCTCTCGAAGATGATTGATTTTTATGAGAAGTTTTATATATCACATACACATACACATACACTCGAAGTGTTTGTCATTCTCTTTCGACGGGCTCGGAGGTTAAAATCATTTAAAAATTGGATAGAGCTGTTACATTTTTTCTTTTATTTTTTTTTTTCTTTAAAATGTTGTCAATATACCACCTGGGCTTTTAGATTGTGCGATCTTCCGCTCTGATTTATTTCAAGAAATGTTGCCTTATCTATGCATACATACAAATGCCCATTTCGAGTGGCATTTAGATTCTTTCGCATGTTTATAACAAAAAAATTGTTTTGTTATTAAAACTTTTTTCTATATTCTCATATTACTTTAAATTTCCACTCGAAATTCAAACATTTTACGTACACGCATTATGTTTGACAACAAGAGCTACCGGTTTATTAACCGTTTTTCCGTGTCAGTCAATTCTCTAAATTGACATGTCTGTACATATAATATTTGATTTTTTATTTGCATTAAATTCATATCAAACTACGGGTGGGCAATACGTAGCGTGTTTACCCCAAATTTTCTTGTATATGTGAGTGGTTATGCAAATCACTCAAAAAATTTGGAGTATTTTTTTTCATGACGCCAACTTCATATTCCACGCAATTACGGCATTTTCGTTTATAAAACGAACATCGGAGCGAGAATAGAGAAAGAAAAATAAAGGTAGTAGAAGCGAAACGACGACGCAGCTGCAACTGTTTTATTTAAATATTTTTTAATAGATTCTTTAGTCATTTTTTATACAAAGTATTAGACTTTAGCCAATTAAATTTATTTATTTCTATTATACATATATACTATTTTTATTATTTGTATTCAAATTATTAAGATATTTAGGCCAAGTATCAAGTCATCCATTATTTTTGCATGATGTTGATGGTTTTATTTATCAAAGCTAAAATTATCCGATTTATGTGGAATATGTGCCGTTTCTCACGATAACTTTTGGCATTTTGAAAATAATTTCATTATTCCCCTCTTATAGAAACTCTTGTCCCTATTGGCAGGAGTTTGCCGTTGTCCTGATGAAACTCAATTCCTCTCCCATTTGGCTAAAACTGAGCGCTTCTCAGCGATTGCTTTCTTCACAGGTGAGCAGATCCCAGTGAATAACCACGACCGTTTTCGTTTGACGTTGCTGAAAATTTTTAATAAA